CTGCTGTCTTTTGACATTTAAGTAAGTCTTTGAACCTTATTCCACTTCATTATTGTGAGCTGTGCCCTTCCTTTGTTTATTGCTTTACTTTGTTTCTCTTCCCTCTCAAGCAACAAGTAATTTGTCTTGCTATGTTTAAAAAAATTTAAAAAATTAAATTCTTCCTCTGTGTTTCCCAGTAGATTTTGTCTTTTGTGTGTCTGTTAACTGCAGTCTCATTGGGATTGTTTTTTTTTCTTTAAAATGTGTAAAACTACTCAGGAGTTTAAAAAAAAGGAGTATCATAATATTTCTAATGTGCTAATAGTCAAATGTTTCCAATTATTTGAAGAATGGCGATGATCAAAGGTCACCAAACAGAGCAATATTAATCCTGTGTTACGATCACAACCCAGAGGAGACAACACAAAAACCATTTCTCATAAAGCAAGTTCTCAATTAGAAGCATAACACATTAATCCAAGCTAAGTAGATAAATACGAGTTTAAGAGAACAACCAGACACTAGGTTAAGTTCTTCATTTCCCACCACTGAACAGTACTAATAACACTGTTGCTTTCACTGGATCACCAATATAGCATTTAAACCAAGATAAAACCTTGAAGCTGTCAGAGTTGTAATTAGAGCTTTATGCCATCTCAGAAAGTTTTTTCCTTCAGACAAAATGGATTCCAGAGCAAAGACCCCACGCAAGTCTCCGGCATACATAATTTTTCTGGCAAATCTACACTTAAAGCTGGGTAGTGTATTCTTCATCTGCACTGAGATAAGTCACAGCCTTTCTTGATTATATCACTTAAAGATATGAAATATGAAGAATGAAAAAACATATCCAAGATATTAATTGGGATAACTTCCATTAGAATCAAACGTTAACGCATCAAAATCAGTATCCAGTTTTATACCACCACATTCGGGAACACAGACAAATTTTATCCTCTAACTTTAGGACAGGCTGTGGTTTGCTACTCACAAGACCCTAGCTTTCAGGTGGAACTACAGCATCCATGTGGTCCAGTTCAGCTGTCATTGTATAGTGGAAATTGTTGGCATAATGGGCAGAAATGTATATACACTCATGGTCTGTCATCTCTTCTTGACCAGCTTTTTGCCATCAAACTCAGTCTTACTAGAATTAAGTTCTTAATTTTCTTCCAAAACCTCTGTTCTCTCTTCTTTCTCTACTATAAATAGTGCTTCTTTGCTCTCCCACTCCCCCCATAAAAGGTCACAATGTTAGCAGTCATTTCGCTTCTTTTTTTTTTTACAGGGAATAGCAATGATATTACCCAGGATTGTTACCTTTTTCCTGTTCCCTTCTAAAAAAATCTTCATCCTGGCTTTTCATTGCAGAACAGGGCCCGCTGTAGGACGTACCATACCATGAAATCCTCTTCAGTCAATCTAATTCAATCTAGAAAATACTTCAAAAAGCTTTCCTATCCACATCTTTGCTTTTGTTGCTTTCTGCTCACTGAGGTCTTCATCTTATCATTCCATTCACAATGTTTACTCACTTATCTGTACTAAGGTCCTACATTCACTTTTTAGTGCTTTTTCCATTTGCTTATTGCAAAATGGCTTCCCTATTTCATTTAAATATCTTTAAAAAAACTATCACCTATGAAATATTACCAGAGTAGTATTGTAAGTAAAATAATTTTTACAATGCCTCAGATGGTGCATCAAGTCTGAATTACTTTGTTTATAGTTGCTCCTTTGAGCAAAAACCACTAAGCAAAAGCGTATGTATTTGTTATAGTACTAACCACATTGTCAAATAAATAAGCAGTAACACTATTGCACAGGCAGAAGTATTGGCTGACTGTGCTTCAGTCAGCTGTGCAGCACACTCATTCTTCTCTCTCGCATTAGGGCTAGCGGAAAAGTTTTATCTGAGGCTGAGTTTTGTTACTATTCCACAGAAGCAATATAAGCAAGGGATTTAAGTCAGACATTACATTTATGTTTTGATATATTACAAAGATAATATTAAATCAGTTACAGCAGTCAAAATGAATTTTGCTATTTCACTTACCTTTTCCCATACTTCCTCCCTGAAATCCCTGTAAATAATTTCGGGTGTCCAGTTTACATATCAGCAGCTAGGGTATCAGCAATCAAAGTTTATCTAAAATACTTTACTTACTTCATATACTTTAAATACTTTACAGGTTCACAGAAGAAGGCTCAAAAATCTCATCCTTGAGTGTTTTCTTCCAGATCCTGTCCTCCATTTTAAGTCATACTTCATAGATACAACTCTTCCTCTTAAAAGTTACACTTCTTTCATTACTCTTCTTTTGCAAATTTTTACTAAGCTATTTTGTTGCATCTCTACAAATCCATCAATTATATTTCACATTATAGACCTATATGTGTGTTTAAGGTAATCATAAATAGGAGTACTCAACATCTTTATTCAGCTACCTTTTTATTTTAAAGGACTCATGCCTGCTGCATTCCAACCTGTGTACTGTGCTACAAAGCATGGTGTAATTGGATTCACACGGTCAATAGCAGTAAGTATGTGTTTTTGAAAACAGTATCAGCAGCTCCTTGGGAACATGCTGAGTTTCTCATGTTCCCTCTCTATTGTCACACAACTGGAACTAATTTTCTTAAAGAAAACGAAGTGTCTGAAGCAGTGGAAGTTCCCTCCTTTCACAAAGGGAATCCAAAGATGGAATAAGTAAGGCATGTGTATGTTTATGACCTATTTGAGGTTTTGGGAGCATGGAAGAAAGATGTTGCAAAGTAATTTAAGGACAGTGGGAGGAAACCAAAAGTCAAATTCTTATCCAAGCTTTAAAAATATTTTTCATAACTCCATCTCTCATTTAACATTTTGGTTTCCTTATTTGTAAGTCAGGCTGATGACTTCTTTTATGATAAATAGGCACTAAAGTGTACAAAAAGTGATTTGAACACAAAAATGTTTACCATTATTTGTTCTTACCAACTCTTAATATGCTGGAAATGCAAAATGACACATTCACAATGGGACATGTTATATGACCATATAGTAAGTCTTAGCCTCTGACTACAAAACTTTCTAGTTAAACTGAACAAGCAGCAAGATAAAATAACTTGGAGGGAGCAAATATGATTACACTTTCATAGGCTAAGCTTAAAGATAGTTTACTCATATAAGATTTCCCATCTAATTTCCAGAATAAAGTACCTGAAATGATCATTTGGATAGTTTATCCGTATTTTATGCCCCCACCCCAATAACTTCTTTTTTAGATTAACCTAAACAGACTGGTATGGATAAGCGTTGCACATAACATGTTAGCCACAGCATGAACCTGACATCTGGTTTTCCATTTTTGTTTTCTCATGATAATATAAACACCACCAGTTCAAAAATAAAGGTTGTGCTAGAAAATTAGAGGAAATGCTGTCTCTGTGGAACATGAGAATGCTGAAGAGAAAAAGAATAATAAACACAGCGAATCACTGTATTTACCAGGAAAGGCAGTACAGCCTAACGTTGGACAGGAATGATACAAAATATCTAGGACTTCAGTTTCTTTTCTTCTCCAGACCAAAAGGGCAGGCTGCCATATCATGAAAATGTCATGTGATTTACATAACACCAGAAAGGATTCCTGTTAAATGTTAAAATAAATAGAACACAGCGTGGAACAATTATGGTTATTCTTGGATATATCATGTATAGTTTGTAAGTTCTGTGGCACCACTAAGAAAGTTCATCCAGCATTCAACATATGCCTGGATGCTGATCAGACTTCTCTGCTACACACGTGCATTGGTAGCACCACAAATGAAGGGTCCTACCGTTCCCAGAACAATTTGTGCTGCTTGCTTTCATTACGTTCCTGAGCTGCTTCCTGAAAAAACTCCCTCTTTCCTGGAGTTCACAGGGACTTTCCAGTGGACATGCTCAGTGATAGATTCATCCATTGGCAGGGACAATAGAGCTGCTGGAAAGGTTTAGCATTACAGTTCTAGGGGTAGAGACTAAATCCTATTTCTGTTGACATGAGGAGGTAAATACAATCTTAAAGTTAAATCTTGATTTGATTTCAGATAGCCTTCTTTTAATAAGAAAGTTCTTATACAATTGGAAGCATACATTTGGGAGATACTTTTTATTTGGTTTTGCTTACGAGAGTTATATCATCACCCTAGAATACTGTTAATGACATGTTAAGGGCACCAATAACAAAAATATTAGAAAAAAAAACAAACAGCTGCATGGAAAGAAGAGTGTTGAATTCTTGTAGAATTGTTCTCCCAGAAAAACAGATTTTTTTTCCTAGTAATCTAGTACAATTACTAGAGAAAACGTGCTTCAAACTTAGGTGTTGAAACAAAACAATCAGTAGTAACAAAATTTGCTTACTTGGCATGGCTGAAAAGTACTTAGTGGTAAATCTCATTCTTTGAAAAATTACTTACACAATCCTGTTTTAAAATGTTGATGACAAATGCCTAACTTTTTCTCTTTTCTAGTTAGCTGCTAATATGGAAAACTACGGAGTGAGACTCAACACAATTTGTCCAGGATTTGTCAACACACCAATTCTTCAGTCAATAGATAAAGAAGAGAATATGGGACAATATTATTCATATAAGGATGAGATCAAAAATATGATGCAGTTCTATGGCGTGATGGAGTAAGTCAAGTCAGATACAGGGTTTTTTTTGCCTTTTGCTAATGAAGAACAAGCACACACAATAGCACTTCCAGAAAAATTAAAGGGAAATGCTGCCTCAGATGAAAGTCTATCAAATGCGTTATCCTGTATACAAGGAACAAATGCCAGATATCTAAGGCTATTTTAAGAGTATCACCTACATAGTGATATTTCCCTTTCTGCATTCCCAAGTTAAAGATGGTGTATTAGTTTTTATTAGCCTTTGGTGTTCCATAAATTTGTTTAACCAAACTTGTTGCGAGATATATAACTTGTATTGAATTTCCACAAAATTTGCACGTGAACCAAGATAGAAATCAAACCAAGAACTGACAAAACTGGACTAAGTTCATAAGAACACAGCAGCTATGATAGTGGATCAGATCAAAGAGTTACCTAGCCCATTACAGTATTGCCAACAAAGGCCAAAAGCGGACAGCTAGG